TATTCTGGCAGACCATCCGCCGGTTCCGAGATGAAACGAAGACGATTCTAAGAGTTTTGAGGGATAAGTCTCGACACCCTCTTATCAAAGATGAGGACATTCAGCGATAGAGAGAGTACATTGAGGAACTCTTTAGCTGCGTGAGACCCGTTTGTAAAGCAGCAGGGAAACGGATATTACTACATCTGTAGATTAGGTTTCACACGCTGTGAAAAGCTTGAAAGATAGAAAGGCTGCTGGAAGTGATGAAATCCGCCCTGAAATGATCAAAGTATTAGACGATCAAGGCATATGCTGGCTTACAGGTGTCTGTCAAACTGCAATAAGTACGATGAAGTCGCTAGCGGACTGGAGAACAGGAGCTGTTGTACAACTATTCGAGACGGAAGACCACACGAAATGCTTCAAATATCGGGGCATTACGTTTTTGAGCCTCCCAGGTAAAGTCTTCCCAAAGGTGCTAGAAAGGATGTGCCGCGGAATAACTGAGTCCAAGATACAAGAAGAGCAGTGTGGCTTCTCGGCCGGTCGAAGCACCTCTGTCCATATATTTGCCCTGCGCCAGATTTTTAAAAATTCATGGGAGTACGCTGGTCTGGTGTACATGTTATGTTGATCTAGAAAAGCCTTTGACCGAATCCCGCGTAACAGTGTGAGCATACGGCATGTATGACCAGCTTTTACGGGCCATTCAATTACTGTATTCTGATAGCAGATGCTGCGTGAGAGTAAATGGCGTTTAGTCGATGCCTTTCAACGTTGGCATTGGTCTCCGACAAGGCTACGTCCTGCCCCTCTGTTGCTTGTGATGCCCATGGATAGAATAGTCAGGAACAGCCAAGGGGATGAGTGTATCGATGAGATAAGGAGAAGATTGCTGTTTGTAGACGACCCTGTTTTATTGACATCTGAAACTGGTGTACACTGCTCCCCATACAGGTTCGCAACCGAGGGCGACGTGACCGTCATGCGTGTGAACGCATCTAAAACGAAAATCGTTGTGCTTTCTCGCTCTCCTGCCCGTTCCTTTTTTCACATTAATGGAGAGGCAGTGGAGCAGATGGAGAAGTTCAGGTACCTCGAAACTGTATTTACAAATGATGGAAAATTTCAGGAAGAGATCGACCAGTGAATTTGAGTAGC